CCCCCCATCAGAGAAAATTTATTTTTGTTGTGCCTATAAGAGTATATGCAATGGAAACCGACTAGTTCCTCATTTAGTGAATGTTTTGTTTTTAACTAATAATTTTGTATAATTCACTTTTTCTAGAACAGAATCAGTTGTAGAAAAGCTGCTGACCAACTGGATGGCTGTCTGCATGTATAATTATATCAAGGTAAGCCAAAAATTCTATATGTTTAAATGTTTAATAGTTGAATCAAAGTAATTTCAATATGGGGGAAACTTATTCACATTCATCAAATCTTGTACATGTTTGTATGTAAAAGAGCAATTGATTTACCAGTTCTTAAAAAAAACAATTTCACAAGAATGCTACAAAACTGCTTGTGACATGTTGTAAGCAAAGCAAAAAACTATACTAACGCTTTATGAAATTAGTTTTTGTGCTCTAACACTTTTGGTGGTAATTATTATGCTTTCATTTGAAATCCCTTTTTTCTTATTTCAGGATTACGCTGGTAGTTCATTGTTTCTTCTGTTCAGTGCTATTAAACATCAAGTTGAAAAAGGACCAGTGGATTTTATAACTTATGATGCTCGATACTCTCTTTCTGAAGAAAGACTTCTTCGTGAACAGACCAATTACAGTATTGTGGTAAGTCCCCTGCTGTGACTTCTAAGACATTGTTCACAGGTTATTAATAATACTTTCATAAGTTTTAGAAGTTCTTGATGTTTCTGTAAAATTTACCCTAATAAGCCCAAGATCCCCATCTGACTACTATTGTGACTCAAACTTGAAAGTCTATACATTAGGGATATTATTACCCTGACAAGCTGAATATCCCCATCTGACTACTATTGTGACTCAAACTTGAAAGTCTATATATTATGGATATTATTACCCTGAAAAGCTGAATATCCCCATCTGACTACTATTGTGACTCAAACTTGAAAGTCTATATATTATGGATATTATTACCCTGACAAGCTGAAGATACCCATCTGACTACTATTGTGACTCAAACTTGAAAGTCTATATATTATGGATATTATTACCCTGACAAGCTGAAGATCCCCATCTGACTACTATTGTGACTCATTTCCTGGTAGAAAGGAGGACTGGCAAGGTCAATGACCAAAAGTCAGTATTAGGGTTAGCATTGAAATAATAAATCATTAAAATAAACTGAAAACATTAAGTTAATGGGACCAACACGTACAAAATGGCAGGAATTTACATTTTATCCAAAGAGGTAGTTATTGTATACAAAACAAGGTATTTGCATATGCAAATAACTATATTTATTAAAGTTAGTTTAGCATGTTTGACTACTCTAGCTACAAGAAATTTGAAGGTAGGTTATGGTATTATTTGAATGTTAACTTTTTAACAGTATTATTTCTAGAAACAAAATAAAAGCTTGAATTTCTTTATTATTTACCATAATGCTAAATTCAGTTTTGCATATTTCAACTAGTATTAAAAGAAAAACATCTTCATACAGTGCTTTAAAATATTTAAGCAATACTAATTGAGGGAGGATTGAAACGTATATGAAAGATCGAGAAACCTGTAAGTAATTATTACACAGGCAATATATCCTTTCTTTTAGTCCTCCAAGTGGTTTACTTGTTTTTTTTATTGTAGGATTTCATGACAAAGCAAGTGGGAAACTTGGTTTTTAAATAATTGCTTTTTACAATAGCTGAACTAAGAAAAACTTGTATCATTTGTTTTGTTGAAAAAGAAATTAGTAAGTATAAATAAAAGAGGGTTAGGGTTAAAAAAATATAATTTTGAAATGTACAAATGTTGTTCCTCTACAATCTATAAGATCTATTGATGTTGAGCACCAGGCATTAGGAAGAGTTTGTCTTACACCTAGTATAAAGATAAAGGAATATTTCAATAGTGTGATGAAAGTCTTATCTGTAAATATGATGCCTGGTAACTTTTGTTCACGAGTGTGAACTGTCATTCCAGTTTATTCAAGTGGTCCAGGAAGAGGAGAAACTACATTTCCGTGTTAACAGCTGTGATACAATTACCCAAGTTAAGGCCAAGATATTGGATGGCTTCTATAAAAATATTCCATTTTCACAAAGACCATCTGTACTAGATGTCGACATAGGTAAGCTTTCTTTTTACCCACTTCAGAAAACTATATCTAGATAAAACGAAAGTGATACAAGTAGTTTTGAAGTAAAGTTTATATGTACCACCAAGTTTCATGAAGTTTTTCATAGGAATTATTTATTTGAAGTTTAAAAAAAGTGTACAAACAGACAGAACAATTCTTCATTCCAACGAACATGTCATACTGAAACTACAATGTTTAGGATAATTTCCATTGTACCAACTAACTGTTAGAGGTTTCACTGCATTAAATTAATCTCCAAAGAATGGCACCACGGTAGAGGAGGACATCTGACCTTAGCTGACGAAGATTCAACAACCAAGACAGTCAATGGCTGGAAGCGCATCAATACTCTTGAACATTATGGAATTAAAGAATCAGCTGTGATGAGATTAGTGCCTAAAATGAAACAAGGTTACCCAGAGCCGTCAAGTAAGTATACTCTCCTTGTCATAAACACTACTCTGTACCCAGAGCCGATGGATAAGCGTGACATCCTTTTTAAGAAACGACTACTGTGTAAAAGACCAACAAATCTTCATAGATGCAAAATTAAGAGGTTTTTATTAACTTATTAGATTCCATAATGAGGTTAGTGTTCAGCAATGAATTCTAACTGTAAAAAAAAAATAGGAATTAGAATTTCTAGCTTCATCCTCGTTTGTTTAACAAAAAATCTTTTATTTCCTGGAGTGAAATATCACTGTAATAACTGGGAAGATTTTTTTTTGCTCAGTAAACAATTTTTTTTTTAATAAAACAAAGGTGATGTTATAATTATTGGTACATGAAGCCTTCTTTATTTTATTTGCTTTACTCTATCAAGTAGCACTGTGAATTAAGTGAAGCTAGCTTGCTGGAAGTAGCAAATCAAAGAAAATATTAGACCTCTACATCATCTTTTCTTAACCCAAATTTACTTTTTGGTGAAGAAAAGAAATTCTGAAATAAATTATCATTTATGTTGACTTTATTGCTTGAATCATACTACAAAAGGAATGTTTCCGTATTAAAGATCACGGTGATGGTGTAATGACACCCAACTCTCCCCGAAGTAATGAAAAAATTCCTATAGTGCGTTACTGGCACTTGGTGAGGTCCACAGATGAACTTCTCACTGACCAGCAACAGAAAGATCACAGCCACAAGGCTATGCCAGAAATATTTCTTACCAGGTTACTGTCAACAAAGGTTTGTAAACAAGTTTGTTTTGTTTTCATTGAAGACTGATTAATTTGACGACAATAATTAGTTACAATTTGAAAGTGATAAAAGTCCCAGATATGTTTTACCATGTTACCATGATTCTTTGTAATTGTTACATTTACAAAAGGTACATATTAAGAATAAAATTGGTATTTTAGAAAACGATGTGGGATAGATGATTTGTATAAAATGATCAAACTTTAGATTGAACTGGACCTCCCTTGACTTCCGAGATTAACCAATTTTCAGAATACTAAGTTTATTTATGATATCTGCTATTGTGCGGCTATATAACCCGAATAACCTATCCAGTGTACAGGTTTTTCTCATGGTGACTACAAAGCATGTTCACACCAACAGTATGTTTGAAATTAAGTAGTTTTTAATATACAGACTAAGGTACAATATCACATTAATTTCAGCAAAACAGTGGAAAACTATAGTTGGGTTAAATCTTAAATTGAAAGGTTATTATCTTATTATTTTCCCATAATTGATGATAAATTCAAATTCTATAAATTTTTATTTGTAACTACAATGAGTCAGGTAATACTATATCCTGTCATATGATTTAAAAAACAAACAAAAAAACTTCTAACAGTAATAGACATTGTATTAAACAGTTGTTCTTATTTGGATTTTTTCTGAAAAATTAAAACACTTGTGGGGAAAGTTGTTTCTAAATATGTACAGGAATATTTACATAATTCAGTTATATTGTACTTTGTGCTACCTACAAATGTTATAAAGAATAACAGCTCTATAAGCACAAATTAATTAAGGAAAACAACACAAATATAAAGTTAATTACCCAACTAGTTTCAATGTACCATGTGCATCATTTTCAAAGGTTCTCATACAGAATACGTGGTACCTCAAATCTAGATGGGTATTTGTGCTTATAAAACTGTTAATCTTTATAACAATATTTGTATCACCTGATTATAGAAACATAATTATTTTTTTTCTAATAAGTTGAGTAGGTTATGAAATAATTTCGAAGTAAAATAACTAGGAGTTATTTCAGGGTACAGTGCAGCAGTTTGTGGACGATTTTCTCTCTACTATCTTGACAACTAATGAAATTCTACCTCCAGCCATCAGGTGGTTGTTTAACTTACTAGACAATGCTGCTACTAGGTATGGAATATCAGATCCTGAAGTAGTACATGCTTGGAAGAGTAATAGCCTTCTACTTCGGTTCTGGATTAATATTGTGAAAAATCCAGATTTTATTTTTGACATTGATAAAACACCTACAGTGGATTCGTCTCTATCTGTCATTGCCCAAACCTTCATGGATGCTTGCTCGACAGCTCAACATCGTCTGGGGAAGGTGTGTTTAGAATATTTTTTTAAATTCTGGAGAGATACTGTAGAAGTTGTAAAACGTTAAGTTTGTAGAAAGAGAATGTAAGTTTAAAATATCTAAATACATACCATTATAAATTCGATGACGAGGAACCCACTTTGAGACTAATAATGGCTGGAGACGGCTTGAGTGGGTAATGAAGAAAAACTTTAATATAAGTTTAACATAACAGTAAATGTACAACGTTTCGACAAGGTTTTGTACCTGATGATGACAAAA